ACAACTCATCAGCTGTATGTAGACTTATTCCTCTGGCTATCAAGATCTTCAGAAAAGGCTAACAAGCCCCAAGGCCTTCAGCTCAGGGTGCCTTGCTTAGGACTATTAAAAGGAATCTGGCTGGTGTCCAGAATTTGTTGAGTGCACAAGGTTTTGCAGCTTTGCAAAATCAGTTTACAGCATAACAAAACCCTCACTGGGAAAACTCACCAGGCTCTAGGAATCTGTGTGGTGTTAGACAATTTAGTGGCAGCATTAACCTCGCCATAAAAATGTGAAGATCTTCATCTAGACATGCTTTTAGCAGTTATAAAGATGTACAGCCCTTTCACAGTGGATAGAAATGTTGGGTTTGGGTCACAGAAGTCCTCAGCTGGATTAGAGTCCAAGGTGGTGCTAAAGCTATAAATACATACATATATGTACACACACACACAATCCTCTTCTGCATCACTTTGCATGAGTGCTCTGAACCATTTGTTATGCAATGACCCTGAAGGAAATCCATGAGGGCCAAACAACTGATAATAATGAAATAGAAAAGCCAGAAAACCATATACCTTCTAGGAGGTAAGGAAGAGAGGAGAACCATTGGGTAATTCACTGAATCCATTTATTTTGATACTACATGAAAACTCCACTTAAAAAACTGTGCTATAGAAGACATCTCAATTGCATTTACTTCCATCCTTAACTTGGAGATGCAGGAATACTTTGAGATACAGAGGTCAGTTCACAGTTGCACACAGAGATGATGCTTTCTGCTTTTACTAGTATCTTCATTACATTCTTGTGCAGCATGAGCTTATCTATTTATATGTACCTGTTTGATCCAGGAAAAATAAGTTTTGGGTTGCATTTGTTTAATTTAAAGGGAAATTAAAGGGCTCTAAAAACAATGAAATCAACAAAAATGAGATTAAGGTGGAGACCAGTTAGAAATTACTCTGCCAAAAGACACATAAAGATGTCTGTATGTTTCAGTTAAGAATATTATTTTTTCCAGACAATGATATATTAAATAACAGACTTTGTAAACCTTCATGCTACTAAACTGTTTAATGCTAAGAAGTCAAATCGATAAGGTGCTTTTACTGGGCCTTCACTCCATTCCATAGCCAGATGGATTAAGGTGAAGGAATAAAAACATGCTCTGAGGATGTAATTGCTGTGACTTGTACCTGAGTCTCCCCAGAAATTTAGAGTTTGGAGAGACAGCTCTCCTGGATGCACTGTCTTGGCACTTTCCCAGGAACAGTTCTGGTAGAAGAAAGCCATGAGTGAGAACTACCAAAAGCTGAAGTGGCACTGGGATGCTCCTCCATGTATGGTCCTTGCTTCTGGGCCTCAGGGGTTTGCAGAGGTCCAGGCTGCCCTCCGAACCAAAAAACCTTTGTTCTTTTCCTAGTAGGGAAAAATTGGTTGAACCTACCCTGTTCCTCATTCCCCTTTTGGAAAGGGAAAGAAGCATTGAACTTCTGGAGCCCTTATACAACTACTGACAAATGGCAATTGGTGAGTTTTACCCATGGCAACCAGAGGGGTGATGAGGCACAAGTGGTCACTTGTGTATTGCAGTAGTTTTGCTATAGCCTAATCAATGCTTATTTGCTTTGATTCTTCCTAGCAGAGAGCAGAGGTTGCATGGGCAGACCACTGAAACAATCAAATAATGGATTTAGGCAAAGAATTTGTGACTTTATATTGGCCAACAACAGAAATGAACTGCAATTATTTTGATATTTGGGATGGTCATATTAGTACCAACAATATTTAAGATGAACTTCAAAAGATGTCTTTGTCAATTGCTGAAATAAAAGGGTCCTTCCTGTCTTTGTGTTATATTTCATTACAATGTATGATTACCTGTCCAGAACAGATCTCTTGGAAGGGAGCAAGAGCTATTGTCAGATTAACTAGAGCCATATGTCTGCAGCATAAATCCATGTAATGGAGGGAGCCACGTACCTGGAAGGGTGGATGGATGCCCCAAAGAACGGAGAGTGAGAATAGCTGCTGAGCTGGAAATCCAGGAACCTCTTTACCAGCTGCAGTCTTGCACTGTTTGATAACACAGCATTTGAGTTTGCATTTAGGCAGAATCAAGCTTGGTGTCATGCTTTGGGGTCTGGATCCTGCAGAGTGATGCACCAGTCCATGGCAATAGACTGCTTACTCTGTGGCAGTTTTAATCTGTAGGCTTTCACATGCTGTCAGGAGAGCTTGTGCCTTGCACAGATTCTGAGTCAGGTCTGCACATCTCAGAGGGCTCTGATGGGAAATTGAGCATGACCAACACGCCCAGGAGAACCACTGGACAAAAATGGTGCTCAGGACAGCCTCAGTGCACACCTCAGAACCCTCTTTCTGGGGCAGAGTGCTTATAATGAAACTCTGCAGAGGGGTTTGCCCTGAGAACTGCTCAGCCTCCGAGGCAAGTCCTGGGTGCAGGCACTGCTCCTTGTCAAGGATGCGGCCCTGTCTAAACCAGGCTAATTATTAAGTCATCTCCTTCCCATTAACTTGTGAGGAAAATTACCCTTCTGAGTTTGAATGACAGAACAGCATTAAGAGTATGCACCTTTCTTTTTTTTTTTTTTCTTAAATCAACCAAACAGAAAATTCACAATGAGGATGATCTTGTAATTACACACACGTCAGAACAGAGTATGATAGTTTGCTCAGATTTCTTTGAACGTTTCTTTAGGAGAATTTGGGAGGAGAAAGGGAGGGAAACATTCATTGTAAATCAACTTTGGCATGAAACTTTTGTAAAAAGGTGCCCAACATGCATTACATTCTTTGTTCTGTGTTTTTCCTACATATAAAGCCTTGACAACCTGCTATTCTATGATTGATGCACTTATTTCTTCTAAAGTATCACTAACCAAGCATATCATTTTTATACAGTAAGTGTGTATTCAATTTCCTACAGTTTGACTGCTAAACAGGCTCAATGGTAAAACAAATATATACTGCTGCAGTGCACTGTTCAGGGGGACCAATAGAAAACTTTGGAATATTTTTCATTTGTGTTCCCTTTGCTTTTAGTGGCAATGAAATCACAGCAGGGGCACATGCTAACCATCCATATTTTTGTGAAAGTTGTACTGTCATTGGGTGAAGTCTCCAACTACTGCAGACTTTGTACAATGTTAATAGGAATATTATGATTCATATATTCTTGCACAATAAAGCAGAATGACATATCAGGTTTGCAGGCTCTCCTGACAAGGTATGAGGTATTTATCTGGGTTTGTACACCACAGGCTTATCAGCCAAGTATCTGAACGACTATTGACATCATTATCATTCATAAATATAAACTGAAAGAAAAAGAATTCAAACTCCTGTAGGCTTAGCATTGGATCCCTGGCACTCCTGGACTGGAGGATAATGGATCTATGAGAATTCATGTATGTTTATGATGTACGAGGCATTTCAGCTGACATTGAATCAGGTCAGTGGGTCCATTGGACAGGATGCAATGTCAATGGAACTGTTATGTATTATTGATGTCAGTCACAGAATAGATAAAAACATTAGCAAAATAGCTTTCATTGCCATTTCTTTTCTTTTTTTTTTTTCCTCAAATGACAAAGACACCAGCCCTTATTAAACACAAGAGGTCTCCAATGTTTCTGATCCTTAAACACTTCTGACTTGGAAAAAACTTAGGAAATTAAAATTAGAATTGACAAAACAATATTTTTATATAAGAAGAATGGCTTAACTCCTTTCACTTACATTTTCACTTGTGGAATTAAGTTTTGCCTGCAAAAGAGAAATCTACTCACTTTAGGTCCACTTCTGCAAATTGTTAGGCATATCACTACATTTTTGCATATCTCGAGGTTATGCATCACTGTATCAATGTATCACTATACCAATGAATCTATAGGAATAATTCTTATTTACATTGAAAGCGACTTTAAGCTGCTTGGTCTGTGACACTGAAGCACATATTAGCACTTCTTCACTTTCACTGCCAAAGACGTGAAAAGATTGTCATGCAAATCACACCCAATGGACTACACAGATACTTACAGTAAAAGGACATGTAAAAATTAAAAGCTTTTAACATGGTTTATACCTATTTTACCCAATCTCTTATGTCTGTATTATGCATTGCTCCCTAGACATGCAAATCACTTTGGCTGCTGCCTAATTCTGACCCATTCCTAAATTAACATCCTCAAGCCCCACCAAAATCAGAGGTGCATTTTAAACACCAGGTTAAAAATAGGTATGTACGAATAAATATTTACAGGATTTAACACTTTATGAGGAGGGAAATAACCACTGTGGGGCATGCCACCCAAAGACTACAGACAGTTTCTTGGCATTCCAGATTATCCCAGTCCCTTCAGTGACATTTAAAAACTCAAAGCAAGTAAGTAACACCATAAATTTCAACAGGGCTCTGCATGCTGAAATACAAGCACTTAAAGGTTGCACAGCTTCAAAGCACAAACCATACATTGCATTTGCCAATCAGCTCCACAGAGGGAGAGGGAAAGGTATTTGCCTAATTTAAGTGCTTAGAGTTGTTTTGTGCTCATGCCTTAGGTGGGCCCATCTGAGATTTACACATTTACTCCTACACCCTTGGAAGACAGCTTCATTCAGAGCAACATTTAGCAAATTAAAATTTTTATTTTTTTGTAAAGATTATGACCTCAATTAAATATGATGAAGTTAAAGGAAATGCATTCCAAAACTGATGTGTCTCTTTGCTTGTTCCTGTCAAATGAAGGGTTTATTTGATACTTCACTATGGTAAAGATTTGTCCTATTACTTAATTTCACCATGATGTTCAGAACATCTTGTGTCAATAGGTAACATTTGGGCACAAAAGCCTCTCAGGAATTCCAATATTAGACATTTGAGCCCTTGTCAGTAAACTGGCCTCATCTCTGAAACTGCAGGAATTTACAAAGTAAGGAGTTTTAATAGTGACACACCCTGATTGAGACTTTGTTGATTTTCACAATAATCCTATTTTAAAAATATTTTTCTTGTACCCATCCCTTGCAACTTGTCTTTGCTCCTTAGTTCTTTGTTTTGAACTAGGAATGCTTATAGCGTCATTAAAACTATAATTTGAATATTGAAACTGTTGCCAAAGATAGGCTACCACTACATAAGTGTTATCTTCAGAAGTGAAAGCAGAGTAATAATCCTTCTCTCCCTCCCAAAGAGATACCACTAATTAGGAATTCTTTGATCCCACTGTCTCTGAGCAGAGACTGCTACAGGAAAGGTCATCAGGCCCCTGGCACAAGTATTCAACCTCTTACATGTAAGTGGACCAGGTTTCATAAAATATCGTGTCATTTCTCTGAATAATTTATTTGAATAGTTGCTGTACCCATCTTGGGTACCCAGCCTCTACCATTTATTGCATTTGGTGTCAGTTCCACAATTCTCTCCTAGCTCTGGGTCAGAAACAAACATCAACCCATAAACCTTCTTTAGGTTTCTTCACTGGTGGTGCAATGTGCTGGCTCCCCTCCCTTGGTCCCAGATGGATTTAAAGGATGCAACAGCCACAGGAAAGTGTGAGAGGTGGTTTTTGGCTTTGTCTCATGCTCCTAACAATGCAAAAACCAAGCAAAACTGCAGTGGGTGATTCTTCTGTGCATGTTTCAGACTTTCCCCTGGGTGGGTGAGAAAAAGTCATTTGCCTCTGTCTCCCCACTGCAGAGGCTCCCCCCAGCCCCAGCAGCACGGACAAGGTGAGCTCACCCTGCAGGAGCCAGGCTCTGCCCACAAGCTGGCAATGCAGTGGATTTCATATGCACATACATAGAGTTATGGATATAACTCTATATAACAAAGACTGCACACTATTTGTTCCCTTTCTCGGGTCTTTCCTTCCCTGCTAGCAAATGGCTGTTGCAGTTAATCTAAGGAGATCCCTCCTAGGCTCTCTTTGCTCACAAACCCTCTTGTGCTGTAAAACAGATAACAGAAATTTTTTATGGCCAGGTTCTTAAAATATTTTTAAACTTGTCCTTCCCCCCTGCCCCAAGCTTTTTGATGTAAGGAGAAAATCTCACACAGTGCCTACCCTTATCTCCCCAAGAGAAAACAAAGAGAGTTAAAGGCAAATGTCTTCTGCAGAGACTGCCTTTTCTGTGCTGTTCTCCCCACTGTGTGCCAAATAATGGCATCTGTTCCTGCTGTTCTTTAGTTCCCCCATCCAGCCTGTTTTCAACTTCCTGCGAAAATTTGTGGTTCTTAAATCCAAAGGTCACGTTTTAACACTTAAGTTCAGTTTGGAAGGATTTGGATTTGTTTCTCATAATTTTTTTCCCCCCAGTTTTCTTTTGTGAGTAGACAAAAGGCTTTCACCCCGTCTTTGCATTGCCTGTTTTACAGATTCCGGCACACATCTCTGCAATTCGGGTTAATACTCTGCGAAATATCCACTCACGTATTGACGAGCATTAAAGGATTGCTCTTTCCCTGCCTTCTGCCAGGGTTCAGCGTGTTGTTAGCAGCACAAGCTCCTCTCACACAGCCCTCACTCTGTGATCAGTCTGCACTATAGAGGAATTCCCTCTGCCAGGTCTGCAAAGAATTCAAGCTGTATGTAAACAAAGACACATTTCTAAGCAGAGGTTCTTGCAATGAACAGCCAAAATTCTGCTCAGTTATGGACGATGGCTTTCTGCAAGACGAGGTGAACACAGATCACCTAATTACTTTTTCTTATTCGTTCAAGTTGGACACAAACTGGGATCTCAGAGCTGAAATGCCAGTGAGAAAACTGGCTTTCTGCATTTTACAGGAGGGAGGCCGAGCTGGTTTGATTATTGATGTATTGTAGGCCTCTATTTATTCAGTATTTCCCTAAAATATAATTTTTAAAAGTGTATATTTACTGACCTAACAGACTCCCTGAGAGATTTTGAGGTGTATAATTTTAGAGAGACAGGCAGGGAATCAAAGGCTAATACATAACTTTCTACATTGGCAGAAAGAAAAAAAAAAAAAGGCCAAGATCTCCATAGTTTCATTTCTAAAATTAAGAAAAATAGTCCATGCACATTACTGGATGTTTATTTCTGTGCCAAGGAACTGGGCTACTCTGCAGAGCACTGGGCAAGAGCCAGAGAACAGGATTTGGGGTTCACACCACCTGTGTCTACCACACCTTCAGCCTGAGACTGTCTTTTCTGTCTGAAAATTTTTCTGGCAAATGCCACATTAGAGTTAAAGGGAAAAAAATAACCTGAGATGGGTAAGGATTTAATGATGTAATTTGAAAGTGTTTTGTATGTTTGATTTCCGCTCATTTGAGGAAGGGAATAAACCTCAGTTGTTTGGTGGTCTGTGCTGGCTCCCAAGATATTCTCTGCCCTTGATTCACAGGAGTAGGCAGAAGCCTTCATGTCCTTTAGTCTGCACACCCTGTGGGTCTGGCATGGTCTCTCTCATTTGGTCTGAGAATCAGATGCTATTTCTGGTCTGAAGACATTTGTTCTCAATTGCCTACACAGTTCAATAGGATTTTAGGGTACATTTGTTAGGGATTATAAAGCACCTAAAGATGTATCAAGTGGAAGGGTCAATACAAGATCAGGCTGTATTGTGTTACAGCGTGTTGCATTATGTGGTACGTCTCAATTCGCTGTTGGAAACCAGATGTGGCAGACAAGCCCAGCCTATTTTTTGAACATTTGTAGATAACTTTGAATTATGTCATCAGTGTTTAAAGATTTCCACAAAGATTTCAAGAAGTAGGTTTTCTCAAGTCTTCCAATCACTATCAAAACCTCAAATTCTGCTGGGTAATTGAAACACTCTATCCCAATCCAAAAAATAATAAGCGTAAAGAGAACGCTTTCATCTTTCATTCATAATATATACGGAGCATGGTATGAATTTGCTACCTGTAAGGTGTATTGAATTTTTAATCATCTATATATTTATGGTAAAGAGTAACACATTACTTCTAGCACACAAAAGCTTATGGCATACGATTATCCTTAATTAATGGGTAACTGCAAAGCTTTATTATTCAATGAAACTGATTTATTATCTTAATTCTCCGACGTTCTACTCCATGTTTCCATTGAAACCATTGTTTGCACCATGGTAACCAGTAACCACCATGTGTACGTGATCCCTTTTATGACCTATACGTAATTAGATGATATTATTTTCTTAAAGCTGAAGTGCTGCCTGTGCAAGTGGCCTGGCTCCCAGCCCTGCAAGCGAGGGCCGTGGCGTTTCTGCCATAACCGTTTCAGTGTATCGCTATAACCCGCGCCCGTTTCCTCCCGGCGGTCCCGCGCGCATCCCCGCTGTCCCTCTCCCAGCACCACGGCGTGCCTGCCTCCCTGTCCCTGTCTCCTGAGCCTGGCACAGCTAGTTAACTGAAAGGACGTGAGAGGAGCTGAAAGCCAGTGGGTGTCGAGCTGCCTGGTGGAGAGATCCCCAGCTAATTGCTAGTCCTAACAGGCACAATTAGCCGCTACAAGCCCTTTGAGATGGCCCTGGGCTCCTCTCAGGTAACAGCCATCACTAGATAAAGGCTGAAATACGCTGCATTTAGAGAGACACTTGCAGACAGGGATGTCACAGGCTGCCAATTATGCTCTGCCTGTACACAGTCACTTCCAAGAACCAGACAAGACACATACACCTGAAGTTAAAGGGACAAGATGTGTACTATTTTGAACTACACAAGTGTGGGGCACGTGAAGATGTAACCCTTCTCAATTTAGGTCGTGTCATCTTTTCAATTATCAGTTTTCGATCAAGTTCTGCAGCATTTTTGAACATTTGCTGCAAGCAGAAAGTCCTGGAAAGCTCAGCAGGAGAGGGCTGCTTATATTTTTTGCTGTTTGTGATGTTGCTTTAAGGAAAGTTTCACCATCACCACGCAGTTGAAAATGGCTTGACAGGCCTCCCTTAACCAAACAGTGATGCTCTACCTGATGGGACTGCAATCCATCTATTCCTCACAGAGGAGGAATTAGCATATGTAAGGCTACTTCTGAAATTAGTGAGTGTCCCCCATTTATCCATTAAAAAAATTACCTTTTCTGAGCATCTCTGACATGACATTCTTCCTCTCAAAAAATGAACTTCTGTACAAAAACCGCAGCCTAGAAAGCCTGAAAAAAACCAACACATCAGATTTTGAGAATGATCAGAAGAAAATGGGCAGTTTCAGGTATCTATCACAACACAGGACTCCAGCAACAGCATCCTACAGAAAATCATTATAGATCAGTGCATAAAAATTCAAATGTTTCAAAGTCGGGGACTCCAAGAATTTCAAGATCTAAATCTAAATTGTGGTCATTTGTATTGAAAAACGATTTCCAAGACATATAATGAGCAGAAATTCTGGCCCCTGAATAAACCTTAGTCACTCACCTTCCACTTGTGCACCCATTTTAAAAGAGATTCAAAAAAACTGTACACAAAACTTCCTCTGAAGAAAACTTCTTACTTTGTTGCTCTGAGAACTGAAATGATTCCACTGCTTACCTTCAGGTCATGTACCTCCTGCCCTTCTGATCAGATCTCCAGCATGACTAACAGCAGGTTCTCCTGGTATCCATCAAAATCTGTCACACTACCTGTGGCAAATCAAACTAAAATTCAATATTAAGAGATTTCTATTTATTTCTTATTTAATATCTTAAACACCTCATATTTATTCCTTTTTCTAATAGCATCTTAAAGATAATCTTCCAAATGATATCACATCTAATATTCAGAATCCAGCTTCCCAGATCCAACTGATACCACATAGGAATGGCTCTTTCTGTTTAGAAAGCTTGAAGATTTAAATATAAATTTCTATTTTTTAAGACTCACTTTAAATTTTCCCAAGAGCTTTTTGATCTTAATATGGAAACTATGCAAAGACTCTAATTACTAATTATGGAATAGTTAAATTCTGTTAAAAGATAAAAATTGCTTGACACAGTTGGTTTCACCTCCCTAGAATTAACAATGAAGCTCCACATGAAGGCTCATAGGTTTTGTTGAGATCTCTGTATTCTTACCTATGTGGGAAGAAAAGGAGACCAATGAATGGATCAGCAAAATATGTTACCTGCTCTTAGACTTTTCTGATAAAGATCTGCTGATTGATAATTCAGTGCCAGATTGCTTGACCAAATTCCAAGTAAAAGAACCCAGAGAACCTGTGTCATTTCCAGTGTTCATTTTAGATTCCAGAAGCATTTTATTAGTTTGTTACAAACAAGTTTGTTTTCCTTATAAAAACAAGAGTGGACGTCTTTGAAATATATGCAAAATCAACATGCTAATATTTGATTGCAAACCAAGGAACAATCAAAAAAACTAAAAGGAAAGAATGAGTGCTCTATTATTAAAATAGCAAAATAAATAGATATACATTTTTTCCTTTTTACAGATACATTTGCAACCAAATTAGCAACAAGATCTCCTCCAGTATAAATAAAAAAGGCTTGCACTTACCTATTAATTAAGAATAATGGAATGCCATAAGCTTTTGTGTGCTAGTGGTACTGTAATTTGTTACTCTTCTCTACAATAAATATATAGCTGATTAAAAATGCAGTGTGGCTTACATACATTAAATTCATACTGCACTGTGTATTGATTCCCTTTGCTCATCCTGGTAGTCCACTGCATTCAGGGCAGGAAGGTTTTGACCCTCTCAGGCAAGGAAGAAAAGCCTCTACCAAGGCAGATAGGTTTAGGAGCACAAATCTCCCAGGCTGAGATCATCAGTTGTTCTGATCAACTCACCCAGAAACTCCTGCAGCCTTTCCACACCACAGAGGGACAACAAACCAGAGCCAGCTGGTCTCCCCTGGGACAGAGGGAGTTTCCCACCTCCCTCTCAAGCCATCAGCTTTGGAGGTTTTAGGGACCGAGAAGGGCTCACAGAAAGCAGGTTCTCCTTCTCAGCTCAGAGGTTTGGTCCATGGCTCTGGTGTCCCACCTCCAGCTGTGAGTTATCAAAGGGAATTACCACCTCTAGCTTTCCTCCTTCCCTTCCTCAAAAGTCAGGGACAGAAAAACACCGTGGAATATATCTGGTAATTTGTACAGCAGAGGAGAAGCAAATGTACCAAGGATAATGTCCTGGCAACAATGAATTAAATTTCCCAAGCAAATTAACAGACAGGGAACTTGTGATCTCCTCTGGGAAAAAAAAAAAAATAAAATTAATTACGAGAATCAGGTGACTTCTTATTCCTGTGAGAAACAGGATTATTGTGCCCACCACTGTGTGTGCTCCTCAAACATTCTGCTGCCTATGGCTTCACACAGCATTGCAGCATTGGGGTCTTTTAACAAATTGACTAATTAAGCCCCAATCACTCCAGGTGTTGTTACATCAAAGTAAATATCCCAACTGTCCTTTTCATGGAGACCACACCTGAACTCAGAAATTATTATTTACATGTGCAATTTAAACCAGATGCATTTTAAATATGCAATAATATGTATACATGGCAATTATCTAAAGCATAATGCCATTGGGCCAAATGAAGCCCATTTAATATCTATACATTTCATACTCTATAGAAATTGAATTTTTATTTTAAGAGGTCTAGGTCCTCACCCATGTGGCACAGAAACATCTATATAGTGTTTTGCTATAAATGGTTATTTACAGGGTTTTTTTGCCTGCAAAACCAAATATTTAGAACACCACCTGTGAGAAACTGAACTTGTAACCCTTGCTGTAGCCTCTTTCATCTAATTTGGGTCAATTATCACTCTGTACGTGTTAACACTACCTACTTAATTGCTAATCATCTTAGCAGATAAGAAGGAGAAGTGAAAAGTTGGTTCTCCTGAGAGAAATCAAAATTTGCTCCCCAAGGGAAATGTAGAAGGGAAAAAGATAAAAAAGGAACCAGAAAACAAGAGATGGCTAGAGAAGAAAACAAAAGTTGAACGATATGCGCTATGTCCCACAGAATGATAAGAAATGTGATGATCACATGCCCCATATGAGCACATAACAAGTCATGCTGATGCCCAGTTTAGTCCTGTCTGCCTGGGCAGTTGTGCTGTGGGGAGAGTGCATTGCCTGGGCTGTGGGCAGCCAGTGGCTCTGACTCTGCACATGAGCAGTGTGGCTGCTCTGACAATCACAGAATCCTCTGCTGTCACCTCCAGAGGGCTTTGACATCCAGCCAAGGAACTTCCAGCATGATCACAGCACTGAACAGGGAATATTCACCCTATGACTATACAGCTAACTTTAGCACAGTAACTGCTACATGAGAAACATTAGGTAGGGGGGAAAAAAACAAAAACAAAACCAAACTCAAACCTGACATTCAGATGAAGCTAAGGTTTTAGATTAACTATCTTCCTTTATAAAACTGGCCATGTATCTTTAGGAGTCCAAATGCCAGTTTTACGTATTAGCCTTCAACATACAGTGTCTGATACCAGGGTGATGGAGCTTCTGCCCATTACAAACCCTAGGAGAAGTGATACCAACTCATTCACTAACAATATTTGCTGCACTTGGACTTGATTGGTGTAATGTTGACCACTCTGGATATGGGGTGGTGTGTGACACCTGATAGGATCTGAAACCAGAACAGTATGGCTGTAGGACATAAAATAAGTTACCAGAAAATAGAGAGCCAAGGAGATAAATTCTGCGAGTCTACCTGATCAATCCAGCTAAGCAGTGTGCTGCTTTCCTGAACCCCAGGAAACAGGCATGTAAAATATCTGTTCCTTGATGGGCCTGGCAGATGTGATGCCAGAAATAATTCTACTCTGATTTATTTTTTGTAGCTTTATCTAGTTCCCTATATTAAACCTACAATCCTAAAATAATTTTAGGGCCATTTATTTTTATGTCTACCAACAGTAGAGTTACCCAAATGTTAAAAGCCTATGCTCATAGGCCCATAAAAGCGCTGTTGATTAGATTGCAGTATTTCAGTTTTTAGTTATCAACACTGACACTTTGGGAAAAAATTGAGTACAATATACTTCTGTACACATTGCAGTGTTTTTAACCATTTAGTCAGTGCCACGTACATCAAATAGACACCATAATAAAACAGAAATGCATTAAACATACATCTGGAAGCACTTTGTAACTGACTTCTGCTTATGAAAATGACTGTACATAATTTCATCATTCACTTTAATTCAGTCACATGCTGCAGTCAGAGGAGTCAGATAACACACTGCAATAAGATTCAAGCATAGATTTCTCCTTGTGCTAAATTCCACGCTTTATCTGTCAGCCCACCCTTGCCATCAGTTGTGAGTCCCTAACTTGGCCCCAGAGCCTGCAGCAGCAGAGACCTGCTGGGGGTGACAGGAGTCACCTTGCAGAGCCCCAGTGCCCCGTACAGCTCGGGCCACAGCTCCTGGCAAGGCACTCACGGCAGTTCCAGCAGCGCTGCCTGACCTCAGCTTCACCAGGAGCTGTAAGGGGAAACCAGACCTTCCATGGCCAGCCAACAGCAGGATGTTTGCACAAGCTACCTGGTCTCTCTTTTTTCTCTCTGAGTTTTATCCTTGTTTCTTGGCTTGAACCATCACCCTACATGCAGTGTGGGATGAAGAGCCACCAAGTATGTACAGCGAGTTTCAGACTGCATGATCTTCACTTCCAGCCACACAAAGAATATTGGTGTCACTGTCAGACATGAAATGATTCACACAGATGCAGCTTGAAATGTGATGAAAGAAGAGAAGTTTATTTGTTCTTTCAGTATTTATAGGTTTTCGACAACAACCAGGGATTGGATAGTCAGGTTACCACCTTCCCAACCACACTGGCTGTGAGAGACATCCATCAAAAGTCATATCTTTAATGGAATGGATAAACACCTATGTTTAGTTACTTTTCTGGGAAAGTGGCTAGAAATCATGAAAACAATATTGAAAGGCCTGATTCTCAGGGTGACATATTGGCAGCAGTAACAGAGGTGACAGCAGGACATTGCAAAGAAGCCCCCACCTTCCTGCAGTTTGACCAGTGGGAAGCTTTCTCTAAAAGGATGTGCATCCAAAAACCACAGGCACTTCACCCTGTCTACTGGTACTCCTTTACAAATACCAGCTAAACCCTTAATTTAGTTGGGAATGGGCCCTAGCACTGAGAAGCTTTCAAGTAATTCGCCATGTCAATTGGCAGTTTAAAAAAAAATAAAGAGAAATTAAAGAGAAATTAAAGAAACATAAAGAGAATGGCTAAAATGATTAACACAAGATATTATAGCTAAAATAAATAAATAAATAAATAATTTTTAATAAATAAATATCATTTAACCTACACCAATCTGCATTGTCAATAGCAACAACTAAACGCCAGCAAAATGTCTCTGGCCTCTATGACAGTGACATTTCCAGGGACACCACTGGTTATCCTATTTTAAAACTTAGTGACTGTGGATCAGTAACATTTCCAGTCTTTTCTTTAACTTGTTGAATTATAAAATCAAAAAACCTCATATAGACTGATTTATAAAAACAAACCCACAAATGCTTCCTTGTTTAAAATAAGAGGAGACATTTTTTTAACAAAAACTGGAGTTTTAGTTAAGATTCAGTACAATAGAAAAGGTTTCCAAATTGTCTACTACTC